GACTACCCCCTCCCTTCCCCCCAAGAATGAGTATAAAAGGACGAGCGCAACGCGAGGGAGCTCAGTATCAGAGTCTCCCAGCCCTGATGAAGCAGACTGCAACGCCTGCGAAACGTCGGCACCACACTGCAAACGGACGCGGCAACCATCCGGAAGCCATGAAGACTAAAGAATTTATGTATTAGAACAAATGTAAGGTATATAATGTATAAATTATAAACTGATAATATAAACTAATAAATACTATATTATAAACTAATGAAAGCTTTCCGCGCGCGGTATATTATGTATAAAAAATTAAAATAACAATTACCAATAAGATACGTATGTCGTTCACCACGATTATATGCGCGTTCCATCACTCGTCGAGCAGCAGGGGCATTCCATATATATGAATCGTGCCGTGCTCCGGGGTATCTTGCATTTACATTCAGTATTTTTAAATTTGGGTCACATATCTGTAAAAGATCAATCATTGAATGTAATTAGTCATTAATACATTAAACACATTGTAAGAAGTTTATAATAATTCAAATATTTACCATTTGCACATTCAGCGAATGATACCCATGATGATTAATATAGGCTTCTTCATGGTCTTTAGGACCAAGAATTGCTACATGAGTGCAGTCAATCGCTCCGATAGCTCCTTCAAATGGCTGACGTGCATTTTGAAATTGCATCCTCGCTAGCTGTCTGGCTCCTGGAGTTATGGGGAATTGTACCCACTGTCTGAATATCAAATCATTGATCGCATCTGTCACTTTATGTATACATCTGCTAATCGATGTCTAGCTCATAGAAATGCCCCACTGTATATAGTTTTGCTGGATTTCTCGTGGGATGCGGTAACTAAATGGACACGTGTGGACTCCAAGGGTTTTATTCGCCAACTGTGGCCAACTGGCCATCTTACAATAGTGCCCCAAAAAGAACGCGCGTGGCGCTGCTACCGTTGGGCATGACAATGTGCGCAAGAGTAAAAGGGCGCTTATGGGCCCCCTTTGAATCATCGAGCGGTGTAGTAGTAATACGAAACATAACATACTCCCCGCCATTAAAGACTCGGCTTTAAATAAACATATACAACGTATTTAAACAAATATAAACGCTGCGTAATTCATTTTGAAACGCAATACCTGTAAAATTTGCTCGAACCAATATAAAAGTAACACAATCACTTAGAAACGTAAATTCAAACGAAAGTTTTATAAACTAAAGGCAATAATTGTTATAAAGGTTGATGCCTATGCTAATAATTGACAATTAAAGTAACATATTATACTATCTCCGAGGGGGAGCGGGGCGGGGGGTACCCCGTGGCGAGGGGACAGCGGGGAGGGGGGTACTCCAGGGCGAGGGGACCGCGGGGAGGAGGGGGAGTACGCGACCTTGACGTCACGCAAGGTGCTGACCTGTCACTACGTGACATGTAACAGATATCTAGGTGCTGACCTGTCATCGAACACCTGGACGGGTATGAGTCACGGGATCAAGCGCCGAAACCTGGTTGATGACTTTCTTATCAAGGTGCATGATGTCAGAGAGATCCACGCTTATTATTCCACAGCGCTGGGGTATCCGCGGGGAGGGAGATATTCCGCGGCGATCCGCGGGACGCGGGGAAGAGATATTCTGCGGCGATTCGCGCGGGGAGGGGGAGGACCGCGGCGCTACGCGATCCGCGATGGCGCGGGGAGGACCGCGGCGCTACGCGATCCGCGGCGCGGGGAGGTCCGCGGCGCGAGGCAATCCGCGACACATGCATGTAATAGATATCATCGGAAGATGACGATATACAAATGATTAGCGCAGACACACAGCTGCGCGCATCCATGGCATGAGTCATGAGGTCAAGCGCCTAAACCTGGCTGCTGACAGCGACTTTCTTGTCTAGGTGCGTCATGTCAGAGAGTTCCACGTTTAAACTCGCGTCTACTGCATCGGCATGTAATAGATATCACCGAGGATGCCTTTGATTAGCACCGATACCACAGCTACACGTATTATTTTTCATGGTATGATCAAGCGCCGAAACCTGGCTGCTAACAAAGTCTTTCTTGTCTAGGTGCATGATGTCAGAGAGTTCCGCGTTTAAACTCGCACCTACTGCGTTAGCATGTAATAGATATCACCGAAGATGCCTCTGATTACCACCGACACAGCTGCGCGTATTCTTATTTTCCATGTTATGAGTCACGGGGTCAAGCGCCTAAACCTGGCTGCTGACAGTAACTTTTTTATGATATATAATCCATCCGGAAGCCCGCTGCACCACAGTAGGAGATTTCATACGAGATCGAGAAGAAAAACATTGTGGACAGTATAAAGTCCGAAAAGACGCTAGCTCGACAACATGGAACAACGAGAGCAAGATCTGGTGGAGCGAGCCGACAGGATCGTCACATTGGGTGATTATTTGGGGTGGCTGCTGCAATGCGATGAGTGTATCGCAAAGCTAGAGGAACACAGCCGTGTCAAGCGTCCGAGGCTATCCATCGGTAACAAACAATCGCTGGTGGCTCGAATCGCGCGACTCGAGAGTGTCAAGTGCCAAGTTGAAAGAAGATTCGTACATTTCGGGGGTGGTGATGTTGGAACTTTTTCGAGATCACAACTGTCGTGGCGCAATATCGACACCGCGTTCGAAAACCGCGTGCTTACCGGTGCGGTGATTAACGGGGAGTACATCGAGCCGCGGAAATTTCTCGAGGACGCTCGCGATATCGTGATCGAGCACGTCCGAGAAGCTATCGAACGCTATAATTGTGTAAAGGTGAATATTATGTTCAACGGAGAGTTTGTGGCGGGTGATAAACGTGCAAATAAAAGCATAAACACAAAAAACTGTGAACTGTTTATTACAACGGACCTACAACAGTGGTACGAGTCGCGCGTAATCGGTCCAACTCTAGCTGAACTCGAAGAGTTTCAGGAGCGTGATAGCGGGTGGGCGCTGGCGTGTATACACAACGTAACCATTAACGTGAACAAGTGCAATCCTATGCGCGCGGGATGTCATATAGACATGCCAGAAGTGGTGAAACGAAAGAAAGCAGTGATCAACGTACGATCAACAGACAATGCGTGTTTCGCGTGGTCGGTGGTCGCTGCTCTCTATCCGGTTGAAAGATACACCGACCGCAAATCGTCGTATCCATATTACAGCGACGTGCTAAACCTACGAGACGTTCCAATGCCGATGACGTTAAGCGGTATTAAGAAGTTTGAACAATTGAACAAAATTTTCATCAACGTATACAGCGTCGAGAAGAAGAAGGAATGCACAGTCGTACCGCTACGAGTTACCGATGAGAAGAAGGAGAAGCACGTGAACCTTTTATATCTACAAGATCGGGAGGATGCCGAAGTGGGTCACTTCGTTTGGATAAAAAACTTATCCCGCCTCGTCAGTTCTCAGCTCAGTAAACACAAGGAGAAGAAATACATTTGCGATCGGTGAGTATATTGACAAGATTTGTGAAACTTATTTTATTGAAAAAATATATATTACAAATTTTTTGTCTTTCCAGATGTTTGCACTACTTTAGCTCCAACGTCAAGTTGCAAGCCCACAGCGTGGACTGTCAACAGCTAAATGACTGCGCGATCATATTACCCAGCGAGGAGGACAAGTGGCTCAGTTTTAACAATCACAGTAGAAAGGAACGTGTGCCGTTTGTCGTCTACGCCGACTTGGAGTGTATCCTGAAAAAGATGGATACGGATCCGAAGACATATCAGCACCATGAAGTATTTAGTATTGCTTATTACCTGCACTGCTCATATGACGACTCGTTATCAACATATCAGTTTCGTCGTGACAAGGATTGCATCGCATGGTTCGCTGACCAACTAGAAGAATTAGCATATCGTGTAAAGAATATTCTGTCGAGTAATGTTCCCATGCAAACACTTTCGAAAA